CAGGGGGAGGGGTGGGCTGGGTGGCGGTGGGGATGGGCTGCGGTGGGCTGGGGCGGGGCCAAGATGTGGCTCCTAGGCAAGCCAACACCTGCCACCTGTGTTCCAGCCTCAAGTCGCTGATCCTGACAGCCCTGCAGAGAGAGACAGAGTAAGTCCTACCACCTTCGCTGGGATGCTAACAGACCTCTCTGGATTTCTGTGCTTTGACTTTTATTTACATACCGGGACTTGGGGGCGCAGGAGCTTCCTCCTAAAGTTCTTGAGAATGAGTGATCATGATTTGCCAAATCTTAGGCAGAACGGGATTGAAATTCAGGCTGAGGCTGAACTGCCCAAATCACACACCCACACCTGAGCTCCCTCTGAGCTGCTCCTTGGTTCTCCCTCCACCTTCAGTCTCACTCCCCGGGCTTTCTCTCCAGCTCAGGATATCTAAACCTGACTTGGCAAAGACTTGTGCCCCTACTTGAGGTCTCTCTCCTGGCCATCCTATGGAGGCTGGGCCTCTGTGTGCAGAGGAGGGTAACAGAGGGCAATTGGGTGGGGATCTCTCCTGTCTGCAGGCACTGTGTGAGCCTTAGTCTGGCGCAGCTTTCAGCCACCATTTTTCGAAAGGAAGGCCTGGAGGCCTGGCCTCAGTTCATGCAGCTTCTTCAACACAGTACTCACAGCCCCCACAGCCCTGAGAGAGAGGTACTGTCACATGGTTGGCAGGAGGGAGGGACCGAGAGGCTGGAGAGACCATGTAAGGTGTTCCCTCCCATCCCCTATCCCTGGATAGATGGGGCTTTTGCTGCTGAGTGTAGTGGTGACCTCCCAGCCCGAGGCCTTCCAACGCCATCACCGGGAGCTGCTCCGGCTTCTGAATGAGACTCTTGGTGAGGTGGGCTCTCCTGGGCTGCTCTTCTACTCCCTGCGTACTCTCACTGCCATGGCCCCCTATCTCAGCACTGATGATGTGGTAAGACACAGGCCCTCCCCTCCCTGGGCTCCCTATCCTAGGATTTTCGTGTCTTCACTCTTGTAGGTTACAGCTGCTTCAGGTTCTCTTCCTGCCTTTTGTCCTTCCTAACATCTCAGAGGGAATACTGTGGGTGGCTGGGCCTTGCCAGTGTCACTGGGCTCCTTCTCAGAGTCTGGGCTGTGAGGAAGCTCCAACGGCCAGGGCCTGTAAGTAGGCTGCATCGTGCTATTTTGATCCAACTCATCCTGTATTCCCCAGCCTCTTGCTCGGACGTTGGTGCCCAAGCTCATCGTGGCCGTGCAGACTCTGATCCCCATAGATGAGGTAAGGGCAGGTGGGCAGGAGGGCTGTTGGAAGGAGAACACAGAAGCCTCCAGCCTGGCTCACTGAGGAAAGGCATGGTGCCCTATGACTTGTCTGTCTGTCAGGCGAAGGCCTGTGAGGCCCTGGAAACCCTTGATGAACTGCTGGAGTCAGAGGTGCCCATCATCACCCCCCACTTCTCTGAAGTCCTCACATTCTGCCTGGAGGTGAGCCTGAGGTGGGCATAGTCCCCACTGCTTCTGCTGGGAGTTTCTCTGCCTGTCTCTAATTCTTGTTAGTCTCTGGGCAGGTGGCTAAAAACGAGACCCTGGGCAATGCAATACGTGTGCGCATTCTCTGCTGCCTCACTTTCTTAGTCAAAGTCAAGAGCAAGGTGAGTGCCTCTGACACCTCACCCCACTCCCATCTCCACCTTGGTCTCAGTCTCTTCACCTCAGGGTATCTAAGGTACCATGGAGGTTCAAGCATTAGCCCGGCCTCCTCCCAGCTCCTGCCTGGGGGGGATGGCCATCTCCTGCTTGACCCCTTATGGCCTGGGAGGCTGGAATTTTTTTATGTGAGCCCATGTTGGGAACAGATTCTCAGGGACTCTGCTCCACCCTCCCTCTCAAGGCCTTACTGAAGAATCGTCTCCTGTCACCCTTGCTGCACACCCTTTTCCCCCTTATGGCTGCCGAGCCCCCCCTGGGCCAGTTGGACCCTGAGGACCAGGATTCAGAAGAGGAAGAATTGGAGATTGGGCTGGTGGGAGAGACTCCCAAGCACTTTGCTGTACAGGTAGGATGTGGGAGTGGCTGGAGAAGAGGGTTAGTGGCTACAGGAGGTTGGGGAGGCAAGGGTGGAGGCAAGCAAAGGCTTCTTGTTCTTTCTCAGGTCATAGACATGCTGGCACTACACCTACCCCCCGAGAAGCTCTGTCCCCAGCTGGTAGGTGTAACCTGGGATCCCTGCCCCCAGGTGTGCCTGTCCTGTCACACCCTGGTAGGTGTGATGGGCCTGTTGCCATGGGAGTGGGCAGGCTCTTACTAGGGTTTCAGGAGAGTGCCATGTACCCTCCCAGATGCCCATGCTGGAGGAGGCCTTGAGGAGTGAGAGCCCATACCAGCGCAAGGCAGGGCTCTTGGTGCTGGCTGTGCTGTCCGACGGAGCTGGTGACCACATCAGACAGAAGTGGGTATTCCCTTGTGCAACTGTAGGGTGGGCTGTGGGTAAAAGCCACCTGCCCCTGGCGGTTCTGGTTCATCCTTGTTGTTTGAGCTTAGTTATTGATAGTTTTTTCCTCCACCCCCAAGTGTTCTGATTTGGGAGATAGATGGAAAGGCTTCCAGCTCTAGGGACCAGACAGTGGGACACACCAACTAGTGACAGCGAAAGCCTTGATTTTCCCTGGAAAAATGGAGAACAGGTCAACTTAGGACTCGTGGGTCCTCCCCTGAGACTGTGTCCCCTTGTCCTACCCTAACCAGACTGCTGCCTCCGCTGCTGCAGATCGTGTGCAAGGGCCTGGAGGACGCCTCGCAGGTTGTGCGCAATGCTGCACTGTTTGCCCTGGGCCAGTTCTCAGAAAACCTCCAGGTTAGTGAGGCTGAACGTGAGCAGCTGCCACTTGAGAGGCACGTGTCCCTGCCCATGCCAGGGACCAGCCTCCCATTGGCTCTCATTTCCAGGCATCCTTGTTGCCACTGCCACCCATGTATGTGCCTATGGGTGACCCTCACTTGTCCTCTCTCACTCCTTCCCCCAGCCCCACATCAGCAGCTATTCGGGGGAGGTGATGCCGCTGCTCCTCGCCTACCTTAAGTCAGTGCCTCCCGGGCACACCCACCACCTAGCCAAGGCCTGCTATGCCCTGGAGAACTTTGTGGAGAACCTAGGTAGTGATGAGGAGTGTGGGGAAGAGGGGGCAAGGCTACAGCTTTGGCTGAGGGGACGGGATAAGCATCTTTCCAAATTGCTGCCTGTGGTGGGGGAGGTGTATGGCAGGGCCACGAAGGAGGTTGGTGGGCATGCAGAAGGTGGGAGACCTGGGTTGGTTGGTAGGGAAGCGGACTTTCCCACAGGGCCCAAAGTGCAGCCCTACCTTCCGGAGCTCATGGAGTGTATGCTGCAGCCTCTGAGACACCCCAGCAGCCCCCGGGCTAAGGAGCTGGCTGTGAGCGCCCTGGGGGCCATTGGTGAGGAAAAAGAAGCAGGAGGCGGTGGCAGGTGGTGGAGCCCATGCAGGAAGACAGGTGGTTCCCACCCCCTCCAGGTCTGAGGCTGCCCTTCTGTCCTTTAGCCACTGCTGCCCAGGCCTCCCTGCTGCCCTACTTCCCTGCCATCATGGAGCACCTACGGGAGTTCCTGTTGACAGGCCATGAAGACCTTCGGCCTGTACAGATCCAGAGCCTGGGTGAGTGAGGGGTTCCCGGTGCTTCCTGTTGTTCAGAGATTGCCCCAGGACAGCACAGGTACCTTCCTTCCAGCTGCTACCTTTGGTCCCTTCGCCCTACCTCCATGCCCTGGTGCTGACTGAGCCCTTGCCCCCACAGAAACATTGGGGGTGCTGGCTCGAGCAGTAGGGGAGCCCATGAGGCCCCTGGCTGAGGAATGCTGCCAGCTGGGGCTAGGCCTGTGCGACCAGGTAGACGACCCAGACTTGCGGCGCTGCACGTGAGTGGCTCTGCCCCTGCCCACCCCCTCCCTCTGCCAACACATTGGATCTACCGTCCCCATCCCAGACCTTAGTCCTCTGGCTTTGGACCGTTGCCTAGTTTCTTGGATCTCCCCTCCTGTCTGGCCACAGCAGAAAGGAGCATATGGCTTCTCTCTGCCTCTACCAGGTACAGTCTGTTTGCAGCCTTATCGGGGCTGATGGGCGAAAATCTGGCGCCCCACCTGCCACAGATCACCACGCTCATGCTGTTGTCACTGCGTTCCACCGAGGGCATTGTGGTGAGCAGAGGGTAGGTGGGCTGGGCTGGTTGGGCAAGGCCACCCTCTTGGAGGATTTATCTTCTGGGCCCAGCTGAGCCACAAGTCCTTGCTGTGTCTCCTCCCTCCAGCCTCAATATGACGGCAGCAGCTCCTTCCTTCTGTTTGATGATGAGAGTGATGGGGAAGAAGAAGAGGAGTTCATGGATGAGGATGTGGAAGAGGAAGATGACTCAGAGATCTCCGGGTATGGAAGGCTGCTCTCCTGGTCAGAGGAATCCAGAATTCGATTTTGGAAAGGGGCGCAGGGCTAGATCTGTTCCTGCTGGTGCCTGAGCACCATTGCCTCCTGACTGTTCTAGGTACAGTGTGGAGAATGCCTTCTTTGATGAGAAGGAAGATACCTGTGCTGCCCTGGGGGAAATCTCCATGAACGCCAGGTAAGCATTGGCCCTTCCCTGGCACTGGGAACCCCACCTAGAAACCCCCTTTCTATAGCTGTGTGTTTTTCCAGTGTGGCCTTCCTTCCTTACATGGAGAGTGTCTTTGAAGACGTATTCAAACTGCTAGAGGTGAGTGGGCCAGTGCATAGTGGGTGGGGTTCTGATGCTAGGAGCCCCGTTGGCCCTGCACGCAGTAGGCACATCTGTCTCTCCCCACCTCACAGTGCCCTCACCTGAATGTGCGGAAGGCAGCCCATGAGGCTCTGGGACAGTTCTGCTGTGCCCTGCACAAAGCTTGTCAAAGCTGCCCCTCTGAACCCAACACCGCTGGTGAGAAAGGGCAACTGGACTGGGCTGGGCCCTGGGGAAGGGGCGGGGCCTGACCAGGGCTTCAGCCAACCATGTTCCCAGCTCTGCAGGCTGCCCTGGCCCGGGTGGTGCCATCCTACATGCAGGCAGTGAACAGGGAGCGGGAGCGCCAGGTGGTGATGGCTGTGCTGGAGGCCCTGACCGGGGTACTGCGCAGCTGTGGGACCCTCACACTGCAGCCCCCTGGGCGCCTTGCTGAGCTCTGCACCATACTTAAGGCCGTGCTGCAGAAGAAGGTGAGCAGGGCAGGTGACTGCGGGTAGAGGGGGTGCTGGGTCCTAGGTGAGGGGTAGTCAGAACTTACAAGTCCAGCTCCACGTTCCCTGCCTCATGAAAAGAAGGGGCAGGAGAGCTGAGCCAAGCTGAGCTGCCTCTTCCCGCAGACGGCCTGTCAGGACACTGATGAGGAAGAGGAAGAGGAGGAAGATCAGGTGAGAGCTATGGATGAAAACTTGGACCAGGCAGTCCTGATAGTCTTCACAGGGGCAGGGTTGATTGTACACTCGGGCTTGGCCTGGGGAGCCGTCTTCTAAGAGGTGGTAATGGGTGGAATGGCACAATCCTCATCCCATTACACCGGTGGGAGATCAGGAAGGAGAGCAGTGTGGACTGTGGCAGGTTTGGGATAACAGGTGGGAGCAGGAGGCCAACGAAGAAGCCAGGCTGTGAAAAAGCCCAGCCTGGGCAGGGTTGGCTCTCTGCACCCATGGTGGTGGCAGAGTATGGTGGGAGGTGCAGTCAGTCACAGAGCAGGCCCTGATGCTCCGGCCCCAACCTGGCTCTGCAGGCTGAATATGATGCCATGTTGCTAGAGCACGCCGGAGAAGCCATTCCTGCACTGGCGGCTGCTGCGGGTGGAGATGCTTTTGCCCCCTTCTTTGCCGGTTTCTTGCCATTACTGCTATCTAAGACAGTGAGTCTCTGGCTTCTAAGCCCAGTCGGCCCGTACAGCTGGTGCCTGCTCCTTCCCTCCCACTACCTGTACCCCGGCCTGTCCCAGACCCAGGCTGATGCGTTCTCCCCCCTGGCCCCCATCAGAAGCACAACTGCACGGTAGCAGAGAAGTCCTTTGCAGTGGGGACACTGGCAGAATCCATTCAGAGCCTGGGAGCTGCCTCAGCTCAGTTTGTGTCTCGGCTGCTCCCCGTACTGTTGAGCACTGCCCGGGAGGCAGACCCTGAGGTGCGGAGCAATGCCATCTTTGGATTGGGTGTGCTGGCTGAGCATGGGGGCCACCCTGCCCAGGAGTATCCTCAGCTTTCACGAGGGAAGAGGCTGGGGTTAGAGTATCCCCCAGGCTTGGGGGTGGACAAGGTCTGCCCATATGTACAAATCCTTAACTGTGGACTAGACACTTCCCCAAGCTGCTTGGCCTCCTTCTGCCCCTCCTGGCACGGGAGCGACATGATCGTGTCAGAGACAACATCTGTGGGGCACTTGCCCGTCTGCTGATGGCCAGTCCCATGAGGAAACCAGAGCCCCAGGTGAGAAAAGGGCATCAGGCAGAGCCTGGAGGCTGGAAAGGGTGGCAGAGGAAGAGGGCAGGTGGGCCTGAGGCATCCGTGTGTCCAGGTGCTGGCTGCTCTGCTTCATGCCCTGCCACTGAAAGAGGACTTAGAGGAGTGGATCACCATAGGGCACCTCTTCAGCTTCCTGTATCACAGCAGCCCTGACCAGGTAATCTCCCTCTGTGCTGGCGCCCTCAGAGGGGACCATGACCTGTGATCTCAGTGACAGACAAAGATGGTATCATTTTTAGTTGGTGTAGAGTGACAGTTTCAGCCATCCTTTGACACTCCCTACTCATCCGTTTCCTTGTCTGTAAGGATTGGCAGTCAGTCCTTAATGGGAGAGGAAGGGCATCCTCTTGCTAAGCAAGAGTTCTTCCTTAGGGATCCCATTTATATTTCTACCTTCTGTTCTGAGGCAGAAATCACAATGTTCTTGGCTGATTTCCTAAACCAGGAAACCTAGTGCATGTCCATAGAGCCCTAGAGACCTCGAGGCCACCCTATCATGTATGTTCTTTTTTTAAACTTTATTATCATTATTTTCCAGTTTGATCAGAGATTGACAGAGAAAGAGAAAGTGAGGAAGGAAGCCACCAGGTCCAGGACTCGGACTGTGGCCACCCATGTGGGGGTCCAGCGCCTTTAACCATCGTGCCGCTTGCTGGCCCCAGCATGTGTATTTTGAGTGAGATTTTGCCTGTACCTGGTAGCTAGGCTTGGACTCATGGCCCAGTGTTCCTGTGTCTCCTTTAGTCACTATGGTTGGGGGAGCTCCTAGGTGTCTGGGCTTTTGGTCTTGAGGCTATGACATTAATCATCTTTGCTCATACATCTTTCATACTTCCAAAAAGTTACTGCCACTATGTTTTGTCGGTTCCTATCCTGTTCACAATTGTCCTGGATGCCTATGAATCAGTATCAGGCCCAGACAGCCCTGCTAGGAGACTGCCTCTCCTTGGTCTCAACCATCATCCTAGCCTTGGGACCCAGGAGAGCTACTGTCCCTCAGTTACCTTTCTGTTCCTATAGGTTGTAGATGTGGCTCCTGAGCTCTTGCGCATCTGCAGCCTCATCCTGGCTGACAACAAGATCCCATCAGGTGAGGGTGGCAGTTGTGGGTATGGACTGGGAGGAGGCCAGAAGCTGCAGGGCCCAGAGGGCCTGGGGCAGCAGGTCCTCCCCTGAGACCACTCCTTCTGCATTCTCTGCCCAGATACCAAAGCTGCACTTCTGCTACTCCTGACCTTCCTGGCCAAACAGCACGCCGACAGCTTCCATACGGCTCTGGGCTCGCTGCCTGTTGACAAGGCTCAGGAGCTCCAGGCTGTACTGGGCCTCACCTAGACTTCAGTCTGTAGCCAGGCCAGAGAGAGCAGAGCCTGCCCAAGCCCTCAGACCACCACCCAGCTCAGTTCCAGCTCATGCCTTACCAAAGATTCTGGGCCTTGTGGCCAACTGGAGTCTGCCCTGCTTACTGCCTTACAGGATATTCCTTGAGCTGGATCTGTTACAAATGGACATGACATCATACTGTAATAAAGGCAGTTTGTTTTCTGCTTGGACAGTAATAGAAAAGACTCAGAGTGAGCCAGGCAGGGAGCAGTGGGGCAGGACATGGTTTAATGTAGCTGGTTCCTGGTGGTTTTATAAATGGGCTATAACCTCAGTGGAATCTAGGCCCTGGTTGGATCAGAAGACGTCCATATGGCTTCTCTTGTTCCACACGAAGGATCTGCTGAGCTGAGAGCACTGGTCAAGAGAGGAAGAGGGCAGAGGGTCAGGTGAAGTCCCTGTAGCAGCTATAGTTTAGGGCCTTGTGTCCAGGAATTTATGCGCCTTTATGTGTGTGTGCATGCGCACACACACACACACACACACACACTCTCTCTCTCTCCACACTCACCGAGGAGCAGGTAGAAGACCCGGGCAGCCATCCTGCGGGGGCTCTGAGGTGACACCAGACTGCTGAAGTCAAGCTCCCTGTTGGCCTGCAAGTCTAGTGCCACTGCCCTGTGTGGATCAAGAACTGTTAGCTGTGGCCCCAGCCCAGAACCACCCAGTGAGACCCCCTCCTGGTACCTGTGTACAGCCTCCAGTGAGAGCAGCTCAGGCTCTGGGGGTGGCTCCAAAGGTATCTCCATGGGCACTTCGGGGAGCTCAGGCACCATGGGCAGTGCAGGGGGCTCTGGCTGCTCCATCTCAGCCCAGGCCCTAGAAGGCCAAGAGAGTCAGGTAGCACAGGGAAGGTGGCAGCCGTAGATAGCAGTGACAAAGGGCATATCCATGCTGGCTGTTTCCCCCACCTGGCCCATGCTCACAGCCTTGCTGCTTACCGTTCCTCTGCCGGGATGAGGCTGATGCGGGACCTCTCCTCTTCAGCTGCTTCTAGGGAGAGTTCTGTTGTGGGGAAGGAAGGTGATGAGATGGAGTCTGCTTGGCCCTAAGCAGTCAGGACGTTGGGGCCACCTGATCTAACTAAATACAGAACCATGCGGGCCTATTAAAAGCACATGGGGGGACCAGTAGATGGCATAATGGTTATGTGGTTGGACTCCCATGTAGTCTACCATGGTTTGAGTCCTGGACCTGGTGGCTTAAAACTCACACTGGGCATGTGTATGTGCATGCTCAAAATCCCAAGAGGAGAATGGAGAAGAGATTGTGGCATGACCATCCCTCTGGGGGGTGATTTCTCACTTTCTGTCTCTCTGTCTCTCCAGTAAATGCATGCACCCTATAGCAGAATCAGTCTCTGCTTCCCTGTTATACATATTTGCTGTGATAAAAACAGCTTCAGCAATTAGGGTACTAGCTTCTTAGAACAATGGCTAGGGTACTTACCTGAAGACAGCATGAGGGGAACACTGGGCTCCTGGGCCTCCCTCAAAACCTGAGGATGGGAAATTGAGAACTAAGACCCAAGTAGTCGGAGCTTGGGCCTCAAGGCACATAGCCGGTGAGCTCACACTGTCGGCTCTTGTGTGTGGAGAGGAGAGCCCACTGGAGCTCGGGCAAAGCAGATCTTTGGGGCTTTGCAGGAAGCAGTCTGGGTACAGTTACCTCTATCTCACTCGGAGTTTCTATCTTTATCCTTTCCTCCTCAGCAGCCTCCTCTTCAGGCTCATGGGGCAGCCTTCGCCTGAGTGCTTTTGGTGGTGGCTGGGCACAGCGGGTCCATAAAGCTAGGAGTTCTGAGGGCAGCCAGCCAGCTGGAGACAAGGGGACATTGAGAACAGGTTTTGAGGCATGAGGAACACTGAGGAGACTGGGTTCAAAAAATCTTCTGTGCCCAGCTTCCCATTCTTACGGTAGGTTGGGGTTCGGAACAGCTCTGCAGGGCTTGTGATCATCCTTTCTGGAGGCTGCACCATTGGCTGCATAGTGGGGGAAGGCCAGAGGCTTCATTATGAGGCAGCCACTCCTCAGTGCCTGTTTGCAAGGCCTGGGACTGCCCTCCTTGCAGACCCCTGACCCTGCCTGCCCCACTCATTGCTAAAAGGACTTTAACCTGGTGCCCACGGATGTGCCAGCAGGGTCGCTAAAGAAGCATGGAGAGTTGTCTATGTGCAAACACACATTATGTACTTTTGGAGGAATGATAGGCCATCAAATTCCCAGTCTCCCCCTCAACCCCAGGAGTTTAGCAATGGTCCAATCTGCACCTGCCCCAGGTCATCTCTACCTCCTTACCCCCATCCCATCCCCTGCACGGCATCGCGGCTGTACTCACACACTCCTCCCAGCAGTGGGCTTTGGTTTGCAGTTGTTCCTGGAATTTCTCCCGGGAGATCTGTGTCTCCTTGTCCCAGAACAGTAACTGGCGACGGCGGCGGCGGCGAGCACGTGGGATCTCGGGAGGTGGGGGCCTCTTCCGCTGAGTGGGGAGGGGAAACGAGGCTACCCATTACTCCTTTTCCTATCATCCCTGGGGGACTGCTAATAGGACCCACATCCCACCCCTAGAGGTGCCAGGGGCAAGGGCTTGCTTGGCCAGGGCCTCCACACATTTACACCTTGCATGAGGCTATTCATGAAGGATGTGCAGGCTGGCACAGTGGGGGTTTGGAAAGGGGTATTTACTGATCTGCACTAAGGCCCCATATAAACTAACAGTGGCCCCTAGGTTTGGGGAAACAGCTCTGGAGGGAAGGGCAAAGAGGAGGAGGCTTGGAAGGGATAGAACTCACCCGAGGGCTGGGTGGGGCCGGCAGAAGCAGCTCCTGTGGAGGGGTCACCTCTGCAACAACACCAAAGGTCCTGGCTCTGTCCCATCAGCCCCTTGACCCTTGAAGCCACCAGGACAAGAAGCAGCAGGGTCCTCCCTCCACTTGGGATTATAGGGCCTTTGTATTCAGAGCATCCTGAGGTGCTCCCAGGAAAGGCCCCCAAATAATGGTGGGCACTCACCTCTGAGTAGGGTCTCAGGCTTCCAGGCGGTCGGCTCTGGCTCCTCAAGGCCCAGGATCTGGCCTGGAAGTGGCTCTTCTATCCCTTCCACCCTAAGAGGAAATGGGCAAGAGAAATTAGGATACCCTTCCCAGCACTACTGCCCTACCTGGTCCAGGGACTCCTGTCCTTACTCTGCAGGAGCTGTAGGTGAAAGCGGGGGAACTGTGGTGTCAACCTCTGGAGCCCGGGGCTCCTCCTTGGACTCTACAGAGATCAGAGGGTAAAAATAAGAGGTTGGGACACAGCTCAGTCCCAAACTGCCCCTGTCAGGGGTCTGACATCCAGCACTGGGCGAACTCTCTGCTGCCTGAGAAGCCTGCCTTGCTCGCGTTCCTCTAGCAAGATGGCTTCATCCTCCTCCGCAATCAGCAGGTCCAGGTCTCGGCGGCTGACCTCGGGGAGGTCCCGTTCACCCTGTTGAGAGAAGGGCAAGGAGAGGGGACTCAATTTCATTTCTCCAAATGGCAAGTTGGGTCCAGAAGAGTAGATCTGAGCCATGTCCCAGGGCTAAGCCTGAGAAAGCCCAGTGGGTGCTAAAGAGCCAGGGAGAGGGAGTGGGACTAGGAGGAGGCAGGAGTCTGGAGGCAGAGAGAAGGTGGGAGGGGCAAGGCCCTGGCCAGTGGAGGGACATGACTCGCCTCTATGCGCAGCATGCGGATAGGCTCCTCCTCCTGCAGGGTGATAGCCTCCGGAGACAGCACAGTGACCGAGATGTCTGGAGAGGCAGAGGAATCACACCAGTCCTCCTTTCCCAGGCCCTCCAACCCCCCATGTGGTGAGGCAAAAGCCAGGACGCGAGTTGTCGACCTGGGTTCTACTCAGTCCCAGGCCCATACCAGCAACCTGACCCTGGGTACACTGCTAAGCCACGGTGGGCCTCACTTTCCTCATCTGTGAAATGAGGATGAGTTCAGGACTCTTGTGAGCAATAAAGGTAGACCAAGTGCCCCTCACAGGACATGGTTCTTAAGAGAAACTTAAAGGTGGTCATTGCATCAGCTCTTTGGCCTTCCGATGCCTCTCACCAGAACGAAGGTTCTCTCTGCTGACCTGGCTTCGTGGGCTCTGTAGGGACTTCAGGAGGGATCTCCTCAAGAACTCTCTCTGGGGTCACAGCCTCTAAAAGGTGTCGAATCTTCAAGGAGGGATTTGGAACAAAAGATAGGATTCAGCTTCAGCCCCTTGCTTTCCTACCTTCACAACCTTACTCAGACAGTGAATGGCAGTCTCTATGCCTAGTTTTTGTGGCACTGACATCATGCAATGAACTTACTCTGTCTGGTCTCCTCTCCTGTTCCTGCCCTCACATGCCTGTAATCCAATGATCTAGCCTTTTTCAATAATCCTACACAAGCACTGCATTCCTTTTTTTCTTCAAAGTTTTTTGCCATAGTTTTTCTTTTAAGTTTCTGTGCTCACCAGAAAGAGACAGACAGTGAGAGGAAAAGTGAGAAATCACCTCCAGAGGAGTGGCCGGACTCTTGTGAGCAATAAAGGTAGACCAAGTGCCCCTCACAGGACATGGTTCTTAAGAGAAACTTAAAGGTGGTCATTGCATCAGCTCTTTGGCCTTCCGATGCCTCTCACCAGAACGAAGGTTCTCTCTGCTGACCTGGCTTCGTGGGCTCTGTAGGGACTTCAGGAGGGATCTCCTCAAGAACTCTCTCTGGGGTCACAGCCTCTAAAAGGTGTCGAATCTTCAAGGAGGGATTTGGAACAAAAGATAGGATTCAGCTTCAGCCCCTTGCTTTCCTACCTTCACAACCTTACTCAGACAGTGAATGGCAGTCTCTATGCCTAGTTTTTGTGGCACTGACATCATGCAATGAACTTACTCTGTCTGGTCTCCTCTCCTGTTCCTGCCCTCACATGCCTGTAATCCAATGATCTAGCCTTTTTCAATAATCCTACACAAGCACTGCATTCCTTTTTTTCTTCAAAGTTTTTTGCCATAGTTTTTCTTTTAAGTTTCTGTGCTCACCAGAAAGAGACAGACAGTGAGAGGAAAAGTGAGAAATCACCTCCAGAGGAGTGGCCATGCTGCAATCCCTTCTTTTGGGATTTTGGGCACACACATGCACATGCCCAGCATGACCTTCAAGTCATCAGGCCTGGGACTTGAACCACAGTTAGTCAATGTGGGAGGCCAGTGCCTTAACCACCATGCCACCTTCTGGTTCCAAACAGTGGATACTTATGTCAAGTGTGATGGAAGACAGGAGTAAACAGAAAAGGTTTTTTTGTTGTTGTTTTTGTGTGTTTTTTTTTTTTTTCTTTTTTAAGATTTTTGCTGGGACCAGCAGTTAGCATAATGGCTATGCTGCTGGCCCCCCACGTAGTCGACCGCGGTTCGAGTCTCGGGCCCGGTGGCTTAAACTCACGCCGGGCGCGTGTGTGTGCGTGCCCAAGATCCCGAGAGGAGAATGAAGAAGGGATTGCGGCATGGCCACCCCCCTGGGGGGTGATTTCCTGCTTTCTGTCTCTCTGTCTCTGTCTGGCAAGCGCACGCGCCCTTTAGCAAACACCTCTCCAAAAAAAATAAAATAAAATAAAAAGAATTTCTCTTATAGGACATGTGTGCTCACCAGAGAGAGAGACAGAAGGCAAGAAATCACCCCCTGGGGAATGGCCACACCACAATCTCTTCTCTCCTCTCCCCTTGGGATTTTGGACATGCACACACATACACCTAGCCTAAGTTTCAAGTCACAGGGTCTCAAACTGTAGTCCACCATGTGGGAGTCCAGTGACATACCATCATGCTATCTGCTGGTCCCCAGAAAAGTTCTTCATTTTTTAAAAAATAATTTGGTTTATTCATTTACTTATTTTCATTTGACCAGAGAAAGACACACAGAGAGAAGAAAAGTAAAAAAGCAAGGCACCAGGTCCAAGACTCAAACCATGGTCAGCCATGTGGGAGTGTCCAATGCCTTAACCACCATGCCACCTTCTGCCCCCCTCCCCTTTTTTATAAAAGAGATTTTTGTTATAGACCATGTGTGCTTGCTGGAGAAACAGGGAGACAGAAAGCAAGAAATCACCCCCTGAGGGGATGGCCATACTGCAATCCCTTCTCTGTTCTCTCAGGATTTGGGGCATGTACACACATGTATTCGGTGTGAGTTTAAACCACTGGGTCTGAGACTCGAACCGTGGTCAACTATAAGGGAGTCCAGCGACATAACCATTATGCCATCTGCTGGTCCCAAGATTCTTGATCTTAAGGAACCTACATTCTAGCAGAGATACAAGTTTTTATATGACCGCTACAAGAATCTATGCAGATGATAAAATAAGGCCCTAGTAAAGTGCTGAGTTACTGAATAGCATTTGGTTCTGACTGGAAATGGAACAAAGACTTCATGGAAAAAGGTAGCATTTGAGCCAGGTCTACAAAGCTATGTGAGACTTGACCATGGCGTAATGGTTACGTCACTGGACTCCCATGTAGTTGACCACGGTTCAAATGCCAGACCTGGCTGCTTAAAACTCATGCCAGAAGAAAAAACAAAAATTCATGCCAGGAAAAAAAAACAAAAAAACAAAAAAAACCACCTCATGCCAGAAGAGAATGGAGGAAAAGGGATTGTGGGGTGGCCATCCCCTGTGAGGGAGTGATTTCTCCCTTTCTGTCTCTGGCGAGCACACGTGCCCTACAGCAAAAATCTCTTAAAAAATAAAATAATAATAATAAATAAGGGGTGATCACTATGAGTTAGGGAAATAGCACAAAGAAGTGAGGTGGCTTCTAGAACACAGAGATCAACTAGTGTTTGGGAGCCAAGAACACCCAGAGGACAATGATTGAGAGGGGAGTCTGGGGGATGGCTATTCTGAGCAAGAAATGGTGAACCATTCCAAATGCTAGTATTCTGTTTGTCGTGGGGAGCAGAAAGGGGGTGACATCACCTAAACTGTAGAGGTGTTGGGAATGAATGGAGATAGGTAAGGAAGCCCAGTGAGAGAGATGAGGAAGGTCTAGATTAGGGTCTAAGTAGTGGGAACAGTGCGGAAATGGATGGGGACAAACTGCTTCCGGCAGGAAGACAATCGTATCTAGTTAGCTCTAAGTAGATAAGCAGACAAGGCTTTACTTGGGTAGGTCCACCATGACAGTCCCCCTGCACTCTCCTGTCGGGGATAGATGTGGCAGGCCCCCTTTTCCTGACTCCTTTTACATTGTCAGCTCTTGAGTCTGAGGTGTTCTAGGGGAATGAATCTTACCTGAGGGATCTGGAAAGGGCTGGGAAGACTGGGATCCACAGACATCATCCCAAAAAAGGGGTCTGGTGCATCTTCCAGGGTCTCCATCATGGTCAGGCAATTAGGAAGCAGCAGACTGGGTCTGGAGAGAAAGCAGGCTATCAAGGACTGAGGCTAGGATAGGCTGAGGCCAAACAAGTACCTACTCCATGCAAAGCTGAGTAGTCCCAGTCCCAGGAAACACTCACAGCTCAGGCTCTGCCATATCAATGCGGATCTGCAACTGGGCTCGGTGCAGGCGCTCCAGGATGTGCTGGATGTCCTCTGTGGGCAGGGAGGACAATGTAAAGAGCCAGGGGAGCCTACAGCGACTTAGCTCCACCCCGCGTCTGAGGATTCCAACCTTACCCACGAGGTACTGGCATTGTTGAGAGTAGACCCGGACCACGCCGATCTGCAGCTGAGCTGAGAGATAGAGGGAGAAGCGAGGCCGCGGCAGGCCGGGCATGGGGGGCTGCACTCGCACAAGCACATAATTGAGGATCTCCTCGCTGGAGGAACAAGGAGCCCTGATCACCGCTGTGCCCAGGACTGGCCCCACAGCCCTGGCTACCGGAAGCCATCCCTAACCCACCCCTGCACCAGGTCCCCCTGGCCCCCATTCTGGGCCTTACCAGGTCTTAGCCACGTTCACCTTCAGATATTCCCGCTTTACTAGCCGACTGCCGCGCGTCGCTGCCAGCCTGGAGGTGGGGGTGGAAGGGGAGCCCTCAGGCTGGGACCTCTGGGCGCCGCTTCCGTCCTGGTGCGCCCACCCGGCCCCGCCCTCACCAGATGGTGGCGAAGCAGCCGGTGTGGCGCTGGAGCACGTTGGGATAATAGAACATCGTCCTTCCAGGCTTTCACGAACCTCGACTGTGCCACTCCTCGGCTCAGAGCTCAGGATAAATTCTTTACCGCACAGGATTCCCAACACCGTCGGGAGAGAAAGATTTGGACCGATGGCACGGAGGGTGGACCCAGGAAGCCAAATTAATGAAGTGACCAACAATTGGTAGATAAACGATTAAGAGGATAATGAAAATAAGACGCAAGAGTTGGGACACTGTTCTCGGTGGGTCCGCACGCCACGTGGCTGCGTCGAACTTACTGGAACCTTCCAGGTTGGAGATGCCGAGCTCAGAGCCAAGGCCTCAAGGAAGCACAGTGTCCTCAGCAGTGGGTCCTCGTCCTAGAACCTGGGGCTGAGTCGCCCTCCGGCAAGATTAGATCCCGCCGCAGGCAGCACGCGCTCAGAGGCTATACACCTCGCTCTGCATTAGATGGCGGCGCCAGGCCAGCCAATCCGGCACAAGGGTCCGGCAGGGAGCACTCTTCCTGACGCCAAGTAGCCAGCCTGGGTTCGAGGCCACTGGGCCTCCTGAGACTGGCAGTGAACCAATGGGAAGAAGCCTGCGTGCCACGGGGGCTTTGTGAGGTGTCCTGACCAATGGGCTCCTGTTCTCGTCTCTAGTAACGAGGAGTTCTCCAACAGCTTCGCTGACCAATGAGCAGGGAGCACCCCAGCCTCTCCCCTGCAGGGAGCCTGGTAACAAGAGCGCCGCAACTGGTCGGGGAGGTCGGGTCACGTCGCGGGCAACTGCCACGGTTTCCTTCGGGCGCCTGGCCTAGGTTTAGACCCTGCCCTCCACCCTACCTCCCAACAAGTCCAAATTTCTGTCGCGCTAGGACTTTTAGTGTCCCAGGCAGGTAGACACTGAGGGCTGCCAAAGGTCACAATGAACAGCGACAGGACTTAGCGGGGATTTTCCCCCAAAACTTGAACAACTAGTTTATGAGCGTGCCCCATCTATCTGGTCCTTTTCAGCTGTGAATGTTCTCCTGGCTGAAATAGACTTTAGTGAAAGGAGGGAGAGATGGAGGAGATTGCAGCATGACAATTGCCCATGGGGTGTGCTTTCTCCTCACCTTCTCTGACAATCGCACACACACCCTAGCAAAAATTTTTTTAAAAAAGTGCCAGCAGATGACATAGTAGTTACATCGCTGGGCTCTCACGTGGCTGACTGCAGTTGGAGTCCCAGACGTCTTAGCTTGAAAATAACACTGGGCTTGTATTCCCGTGTGCCTAAAATCCCAGGAAGAGAAGAGATTGTAGTGGCCATCCCTCCTGGGGGTGAGCTCTCCCTTTTTGTCTCTCTCTATCTCTGGCCCAGCACACGAGCCCTATACCAAAAATCTCTCTAAAAACGGGGGGCGGGGTGTGTGTGTATTTTTTTGCTTTGTTGAAGGAAGCGCGTATCTTTCTGGTGTGTTTCATGCCTCCTGCTTTAGCACAGCCCTTTCTTTTTCTTTTTTTGAGAGTTTTTTTTTTTTTTTTTTTTTTGCTACAGGGTGCCTCCCCCCGCCAGAAGGACAGAGAGACAGAAAATGAGAAATCACGCCCAAGGGGGATGGCCACACCGCAATCCCTTCTCTATTCTCTTCTCTTGATCTTGGGCACGCACGCGCCCAGTGTGAGTTTAAGCCACAGGGTCCGGGACCCGAACCACGGTCGACCACATGGGGGTTCAGCGACATAGCCATTATACCAACTGCTGGTCCCAGCACAATTATTTCTTTTGCCTGAATGCCCTTCCCTGCTGTGATTCCAAGGCGTGCTTCGCCTCCCTAAGACTTGGCTCTCATTGCAGCTAAGCTGATCCTCTTTCCTTTTAGGTCTCCTTCAATGTGGGAACTCCAGAGATCAGAGTCTTGTTTTTTCTGTGAATGGCCAGCATCTAGTTTAGTATTTGTCAAAGGGTTGTGCAATTGCCTTGTAACACAGAATGTCAAAGTGAAGCTCAAAGGGACTTAAAGAAATGGGCCAAGACTGTCCTTTCCAGGTGAGAAAACAAAGGCTGATACAGACTGTGTCTCCCAGACTATACAGCTCCCTGGAGCTCGTTTGGAGACTCGACTCTCTTGAATTCCAGTATTTCCAATCCCTGTCCCATTGTGCTCAACTAAATTTATTTCACCAGAAACACAGAGAGAAAAATCACTTCCCAGGAGGGATGGCCGTGTTGCATTCCCTTGTCTTTCATTCTTTCCGGGATTTTAGGCATGTACACACATGCAGCCAGTGCATTTTTCAAGCCACCAGATCCAGTACTAGAACCACTCAGTCGGCCATGTGGGATCCAGCCACCATAACCACCACACCACCTGCTGACTCCCTGTACATAAGTCGTCAACTGTTTTTGTTTTGTTTTGTTTTGGCTAGAGGGTGCATATTCTTTTCAAAGAGAAACAGGCATTGGGAAAAGGAGAGGAGACCGGCCAGCCGGTGGCATGGTGGCTAAGGTGGTAATCCCTTAACCACCATCCTTTCTCCCTCCTTTTGGGATTTTGGGCATGAACATACCCATGCCTGGTGTGTTTCTCAAGCCTCCAGGTCTGGGACTCAAACCTCTTGGCCCTGTGGGATCCAACTGCCATAACCACCGAGCCACAGAGCCAGTCCAAGCAGTTAACATCTATAAGTGCTCATTTTGGGGCACAAAGATGATAAAATAGGGACACCTATTTTTTGTTTGTTTGTCTTTTTAGGTTTTTGCCATAGGGCACATGCCCTAGTGAGAGAGAGACAGAAAGTGGGAAATCCCCCTGGGGGGGAGGGGGCAATCCTGCAGTCCCTTCTCCATTCTCTAGGGATTTAGGGTATACCCAAATCATGTACATATGCCTGGCTTGAGTTTCAGATCACCTAGTCCAGGACTCAAACCACGGTCAGCCATGTGGGAGTCCAGTGCCTTAACCACCACACCACTTGCTGACCCCAAGGGGGCACCTACTCTTAAAGTGCTTAGAACCTAGTTTAGGAGATAAGCAAGGAATACAGGTAATTTGTTCACCCATTTGTTCCGTTCAACCATCAAATAGCCTATTACATGCCTACTATGTGCCAAGCACACCTCTAAGCTCTGTGGATACAGCATGGAATGAAACAAGTTCCTGTTTTCATGGAGGAAGGAAGGAGAGGTGGTAAGTAGACAGAAATATGTGACATGCTGATCAGTGCTGTGAGGAAAATGAGGCAGCATGGGAGGACTGAGTAATGAGAGCTGCTACCTCTCTGAAGAGATGGTATTTGAAGAGAAGGGACAAGTCATGTGCCTACCTAAAGGAAGAGTATTTTACTTTTCATTATGTATTTATTTATTTTAAAGAATTTACTTTATTCAACGTCATTTATTTATTAATTTTTTAGTTCGACCAGAGAAAGACAGAAATAAAGTGAGAAAGCAAGCTGCCAGGTCCAGGACTCAAACCATGGTCAGTCATGTGGAAGTCTGGTACCTCAACCACCATGCAACCTGCCAGCCCCTGTATTTACTTATTTTAAAAATTGTGCTGGGTGTAACCTGGTGGGTAAGCAAACCGGATCGGATATAATATGGTTAGAGTCCTGGTGCTTGTGGCTTGACACTAGTCACTTGGGCATGCATGCCCTAAATCCTGACAGGATGGAGAAATGAAGAAGAGATTGTGGCATGACCATGCCCTAACGGGAGTGCTTTCTCCTTCTCCCACCTCCTCACCCCCATCTCTGGTGAGCACACATGCCCTCTGGCAAAATAAAAAGAAAATTACTTTTTTTTTTTTGCCATAGGGTACATATGCTTGACAGAGAGAGATGGAAAGAGACGAAGTAAACAATCACACCCAGAAGGGATGGCCACACTACCATCCCTTCTCCTTGGGACTTTTGGGCATGTACCCCTATACACCCAGCATGTCTTTCAAGTTGCCAGGTCTAGGACTTGAACCGTGAAGTCAGCATATGGAATCCAGTGCCTTAACCACTATGCCACCTGCTGGCCCCCAAATGTTTATTTATTTATTCCACTAGAGAGAGAGAGATACAGCATTCCTAAGAGGATCTTGACTCTGCAGTCACCCACAGCTTTAGGCAGCCTGGATCATGGCATACCCAGCACACTCGGGAAGTTCCCCAGATGTGTACTGGCAACTTTCCCATATGGGTCTGCCTTGCAGAGTGTTTTTGCTTTTAACATTCAGCGTCTTCATTTAAAACATTTTAATTACAAGGTCCAGGACCAGCAGATGACATAATGGCTAAGTTGCTGGGCTCCCATGTAGTCGACTGCAGTTCAAGTCCCGGACCCAGTGGCTTAAACTCGTGCTGGGCGCATGTGTGTGCATGCCCAAGATTCCAAGAGGAGAAGGGGTTGCAGTGTGGCCATCTCCCCTGGGGGGTGATTTCTTGCTTTCTGTCTCTCTGTCTTTCTGGCGAGTGCACATGCCCTATAGCGAAAAAAACAAACAAACAAAAAAACCTCTCCAAAAAAAAAAAAAATATTTCAAGATCCCCCTGCCTCAGCCTCCTAGCTGGGACTACAAGCACACGCCTCTGCTCTCAAATTTTAGGTTGGCGCAGGATTACACCTATGCCTCCCATGTAGGCCCAGCCTGCAGAGCACAGTGTCTCAGCAGTGCACACTATTGTGGCTGGGCCTCAGAAGAATATTGCAGACCAAGGAACCAGCAAGTGGTCCAGCTGTGACAGTGCAGGTGGCAGGGTACTGCTACACGATGCTGGAGCTACATTGGGGGCCCGGTTTGGATTCTGACCAGCCTGAACCTGCTAGGCATTGCACTGAGCACCTGCAATCATAATTAGCAGGAGGCTAAGGCAGGAGGATCATAGCGTGGTGAGAGAGATCCTGTTAAAAATACATTTCTGGGAACCAGCAGTTAGCGTAATGGCTATGTCGCTGGACTCCCACGTAGTTGACCGCGGTTCGCGTCCTGGACCCAGTGGCTTAAAACTCACGCCAGGCACGTGTGCGTGCATGCCCAAGATCCCAAGAGGAGAATGGAGAAGAAGGGATTGCGGCGTGACCATCCCCCCGGGGGGTGATTTCTCGCTTTCTGTCTCTATGTCTCTCTCTGTCTGGCAAGTGCACGCGCCCTAGAGCGAAAACCTCTCAAAAAAAAAACAAAAAAACATTTCTCTCTCTTCCTTTCCCTGCCCTCTCTATCATTAAAAAAAGAAAATAGATAAAAAATATTAAAAATAGGGCCAGCTCCATGCCCTGGTGGTTAAGGTAGCCAGATCCCACATAGCCAACTATGCAGTTTGAGTCTCACTCCAGGCAGCTTGAGAAATATGCTGGGAGTAGGGACCAGCAGTTAGCATATTGGGTACGTCGCTGGACTCCCACGTAGTTGACTGTGGTTCGAGTCCTGGACCCAGTGGCTTAAACTCATGCTGGGCGCATGTGCATGTGTGCCCAAGATCCTGAGAGGAGAATGGAGGAGAAGGGATTGCGGTGTGGCCATCCCCCTTGGGGGGAGATTTCTTGCTTTCTGTCTCTGTCTTCCTGGCGAGCACACATGCCCTGTAGAAAAACACTCTCAAAAAAAAAAAAAAAAATGCTGGGGGGGGGGGCATGCCCAAAACCCCAAAAAGAGGGAGAAATGGAGGAGGGATTGCAGTGTGGTCATTCCCCAGAGGGGCTGCTTTTTCTTTTTAAATCTGTTATACTGTGTGTGTGAACTCACCAGAGAGAGAGGTGGTGGTGGGGAGGAATGTGAGAAAGCACCCCACAGGGTAGATGGCCATGCAGCAACCTTTCTCTGTTCTCCTCTTGGGATCCCCAGTGAGGACGGTGCTTTCTCCTCTCCCTGTGTCTCTCTGGCGAACCTGTCTTTTTGGTGAGCACATATGCCATCTAGCGATAAATAGGTAAAACTGGAACCAGTAAGTGTGAAGATGCTGAGGCAGAAGTGTGTTTGGTAGGCTTAAGGAGACCTGGAGTAAAGTAGCAGGAGAGTGGCAAGGGGTGAGATTAGAAAGGAGAATGGAGTCACATCACAGGACCTAAGAAGTTACCAAATTTGGGCTTTTACCTGAGTAGATAGCCAGTGGAGGGTTTTGAGCAGAAGAGTGACATGACCAAATGTATGTGTTAAGAGGCTTTCTACTGCACTGAAAACAGGCTGAAGCCAAGCAAGAGTGGAAACAGATGTGGAAGGAAGATGATGCCGGTTTGTTCCAAAGCGGTGGTGGTGGAAGCAGAGTCAAGTGCTCAGATTCTGGATATATTTTGAAGAAATATATTTGGTGACATATTGGGTGCAGCTTATGAGAGAAAAACAGAAGCTGAGACTCGCCATGTGAAGTCAGTGGCTGTAACGCCTGGCTGTAGGCTCTTTACCCCTCTTGGTGGCTGACCTCAATCTCTCCCTAATCTTGGTTGCCTAGAGAGGACCTCTGTAGTGTGCCAGGTCTAGAACCCGCAGAGCCCAGGTGGCATCTGGCCAGAGCCTATGAGTAGGCAGAGGAAAGGGGTCTGGAGATGCTAGCAGGAAGAGAACCCAGTGCCCTGCTCCTAAGTTTCCAGTTCTACCATCCCAGCAAATCAGATACCGATTCCTCTTTCAATAAAATTTTATTTTAGGTCCAAGAAGAAAATATAAAGTGCTTGCCTTTAGAGTTGAGGTTTGTGGGAAGAGAAAATGGCCCAAGTTCCCACCATTTGGAATATACCAATTTCTTAGAGATGAAAAGAGTATAGCTCAAATTTTGAAAAAAAAAAAAAAAAGGATAAAATTATCCTTGTGCTCTTCACCAGTCAGGGCACCAGAAAGGAGTTCAGGGACATAAGGATGACAGACAACGCTGAGAGGTGTCACAGAGGGAGGCAACAGTGGCGAGTCTATTTCAAGGACAGGGAGGAGTAGAGGGTGAGGTGGCAGATGGGCGTTCTATACTAGGGACAGGGCGGCTGCCTGATCCTCCGGAGTCGCCAGGAGATGACGGGCAAAGGCTTGCTCCATCTATGCGGGGACACAGGGAAGAGGGTATCAGTGAGCACAGCAGGAACAGATGCTACCCCCAGCTCCTCCCCACCCCGCTTAGCCAGGGTACTCTGCCCCTGTTCTGGACTCACCCGCACTGTAATATGATTCTGTGGGGTCTGGTTGGGGCCAGGGCTCTCCTCCCAGAAATTCAGTGTTACCTGGAACTTGGGTGGGGGCCCTTGGCCCTTGAAGTACTTGACCAAGTCTAAAAGAGAACGGGTTGAGGGTTGGATGAAGAGATGGAGAGATAGACGGAGAGGTAAAGAGAGGCAAGAGGGTGACAGGCAGGGAGAGAACAGGGAGAACGCGAAGAACCCATGATGGGGTAAGAGGTGGGAGTGGGGCCACGTGGAGACCAAGACTAGAGCAGGAGCTACGGGCTCAGGAAAAAGGTCAGGAACTAAGCTGCTGCTTATCCCTGTGCAAACAGAAAAGAGACCCCTTCCTCAATAAGTGTTCAGAGGTAGTGGGTCAGCCCGCAAGCTGAAAAGCTCTCTGCAGTGAGGACTCAGAGACCTTGCAGGCAGCAGCCCTGCCTGCTACCACAGACATCCCAAACCTTTTCTTTTTGATTTTACCAGAGGCCAGGTACACCCGCCGGAGAGAGAGAGAGACACAGGGAAAGTGAGAAAGCACTCCCGTGGGGGATGGCCACAACACAATCCCTTCTCTTGCATTTCTCCCTCCTTTCGGAATTTTTGGGCACACACGAGCCCAGTGTGATTTTCAAGCCTCTGAGTTTGGGACTCAAACTGCATTGTCATCCATCGGAATCCAGCTGCCTTAACCACCATGCCACTGGCTGGCCTCAAACCTTTGTCCTTGCTCACACTCTCCTAGCACTAGGGGACACCTGAGAACACCCACACTCTATACTCCCGACCCCACTCTTAAAGTCAGTGGGCTGGAATTGGAATTCCAAGGGAAGGTGAGAGAGAGGGGCAACCTTGAGGGATGCCAGAGCCTGGTGCAGTGGTTGTGTGATGTGTACCAGCTCTCCCAAACACGTGCATAGCTCTGTGTGCCAGTGCGTGTGCAGGGGGGGCCATGAGGCTCGTGGTCTCTGCACTAGCTTGTCCACGCACCTTCATGTGACTACTATATGCTTCAACATGATGGTGCTCCTCAAGAGGTGCCACTCTTGTGCTGGGCTCCTCCTGAGCCTGGGTAAGGAGAGCTGCCAGGCAGCTGCCAGGGCACAGAGGATGTGCTGCTGCCAGTGCGCGGGTGTCACACAGCTACGACAGAAGATCTGCTGGTGGACAGGGTGGTGGCAGGACCCGCCAGGTTGGGCCCAGGAGGGATTGAGAGGTGGGGGTAGGGGCTCAGGTGCCCAGCCGGAGCAGTCTCACCTCTGCAGAAGCAGGAGGTTTTGAAGAGCTCCACACACTCGTTGCTGGGCAGCAGATGCGGGCCTGGCCCAGGAGGAGCCTCAGGTGCATTCCAGGAGATGGGGATGGGACAAAGGCGCTGTACGAAGAGGCCTCGGGAGTTGCTGGCCACCAGGACGCCTCTCTTGAGCTGACTCAGCAGGCGCTGGGTGGGCTCCTGTGGCCCGGGCTTGGGAAACACCACCTGTTCCATGCTGCTCTCGGATCCCGAGGGCTCAGCCACAAGGCGGCAGTCCAGGCTTTGGACCTGGGCCTCGCCTACCACACGCCCGTTGTAGATGAAGGTGAGCAGTAGTGAGTAGTCTGGGGACAGAACAGCATGGCTACACCTGGTGCTGAAAGCAGCCCCTCCCTGCCTGGGGCTTGCCTGGGCAGCACAGCAGGCCTTCTGTGTCCCCTCCTCGTACTTGCCCTTCAATGTGACCCAGGCCCAGCACTGTCCTCCTTTTGCTAATGAGGAAACTGAGGCCCAGAGAAGAAAACTGAGCAGGGGTTGAGGAATTAAAGCAGGCTATGGGGCTGGGGCTGGGGCTGGCACAATAACAGAGCTTCCTGAGGTGAGACAAGGTGCCCTACCCTCATCTTCGCTCTCCTGTCCCCTCACCAGCCAGGGAGTTTCCTTAGGCTTTACTAGCACTCAGAAGAGTAGCTAATAATCACCCTGAGACCTCAGAGCTTAATGCCCTTGGAGGTATTAGAGTTTATAAGAAGGTCCCCAGAGATTGGGTCTGTTTAACCCAAAAGAAATCAATGTCCGAATGTAGATTTCCAGAGGACAGCGCGTGTAGGATGGTATTTTTGAAAAGCAAGCTTTCTATAGTTTGGCTAGGCACACGGAATCCTCCCTGTCTAGAGACCAGTGCCTCTGTCTACAGGAGGGCAAGACCAGTTCACTGTGGGCCCTAACCAGTCAGAGGGGGTCCTGAGGGACTCGGCGCGGGAGGGAGTTGGCAATGCCAGGTACCTGAGTCTGGAGGGGGCAGCAGCTCCAGGTACACCTGATCCTCTGGACAGGGGCTGTCAGTTGTGTCTGTTCCTGGAAGGGAGGCAAAAGCACTGTCATTCAGAGTGGGACAGGGAAGTGCAAAGGCCAGAGGGTGTGACCTGGGGAATGACACCAGATGGAGAGGTGGTACCTTCCTGTGGCTCAGGACTGCTGTCACTGCTGCTGCTGCTGCCACTGCTGCCACCGCTGCTGCCACCACTGCTGCTCCCAAAGCCCGAGTGGCCTGCTCCCCCTTTGGCCCCCACCTCCTCCTGCAGACATGGTGTCTGTCATTGGCCCACCTTTCCCTCCAGTTCCCATCCTGCCCTCAGGCCCACCCAGGCCTCTCCCAGCTCTCACATAATCGAAGGGGTCAGGAAGCAAGGAGGTACTGAGTACAGACTTCTTTTTGGGCTCCTCCTCCTCCTCCACTCTCTCAGATGACACAGAACTGTGGTGTCGCTTTGATGGTGATTTCTGTGTCCCTGGTTGGGCTATGGGATTGATGAGAGAGAAAGAAAGGTCAGGGCCTTCAGCAGGGACAGGTCTGAGCGGTGAAAGGATGGGCAGGACTGGGAAGGGGAACTTGGCAGTTTCCTAAGGACCAGGACTGGGCAGAATTCTGAGGGATGGAGGAGGCCTGCCACACTTACAGAAGGTTTGTCCTCAGTGTGCTGATTTTAGGAATGGTCAGGCAACGGGTCACACACCACAGGTGCCTGGTGGCAGCAGCCGGTACACCTTGTAGGGCTCAGCAACATCCATACGGCCCCTCTCAGAAACCTCCTCAAATTCAGGACTCTTGTTAAGGGCACAGCGCAGGCGAGTCTTCCAGGCAGCAGGGCCTTCTGTGTCCCCCTCCTTGTACTTTCCCTTAAATATGGCCCAGGCCTAGGAAAGAAAGAGAGGAAAATAAGGGACAACGTGCTTCACACCCCGGCTTCCCCTCCAGCAGGGCTGGCCTCACAGGTGTGGCCTGAGCACGCACACAGAGCCCTGAGAACAGAAGGGCTTATGCCGGCTTCTGCTCTGCTGTTGCCATTTTGAAATCTTATTATTTTTTAAAAATAATTATTTATTTTATTTATTCATTCATTTATTATTATTATTATTATTACTACTTTTTTTTTTAGTTTGACCAGAGAGAGACAGGGTGAGACTGAGAGAGAGAGGAAGTGAGAAAGCAAGCCACCAGATTCAGGACTCGAACCCTGGTCAGCCATATGGAAGTGTCCAGCACCTTAACCACCACGCCACCTGCTGGTCCCCAAAATCTTATTTTTTAACATTGCCTGTGGGCACATGAGCTCAGCCAAGAAATAGGAAAGCACCCCCCCATTAGGGTATGGTCAATGAGCAGCAATCCTTTTTCCTCCAGTTCCCATCCTGTCAGGATTTTGGACATGCACACATGCCCAGCATTATTTTTCAAGCCACCAGGACCAGGATTCAAACCATGGTTGGCCCTGTAAGATCTGGCCTTCTACACACAGCAATTAACCACTGCACTGTGGAGCTAGCCCTTGAAATACTTAATTTTTTGATTTCACTTGCACTAGGCTCTACAAATGATGTAGCTGGATTGACGCTTAGTTTTTCCTCAATCTGCTGAAACCCCAGCAGGTGCAAGAATGTGAGATTAGGTGCACCAGGAAATCTACATCTGTCGTCCAGAGAGAACTGCTTTCCAGGCCATTTTACCTTGAAGAAGGCAGCGTCCTGGTCCTCCCGGAAGTCCTGCTTGCCTGCATGCTTCCAGGGAATCCGGAACATGGTCTTGGCCAGATCATCCCAACATACTCCTGGGAACTTTCCACTCTCCACTTGCTCCACCACCCAGTTCCGTAGCTTTCGGGTACAGCGTGCCCTCCCTGATGCCATCCTGGGGGACGAAAGAACAGGAAACATCAGAACTGGCACTTGGGGAGGGAGTGCCTGACCACTGGGGCTAGAGAGCCCATCTGTCTTCTTTTGGCTCTAGACCCACCTCAACATCCTGAGACACTGAGGTTTCTTCCATCACTAGTGATTTAAAAAATTAAAATTCTTTTAAACATTATTCCAAGCTGTGACATCTAGAAAGAAAACTTAGTGATGGGTCTTAGTTCTGGGACTTTCCAAGAATGTATGGTTTGGGGGAGAAAGCAATCCCATAGTGGTCTGTTTTTAGTGAGGCCCTGCTGATAGCCAAGCATCTACGGTGGCAGGGTATGCTTCAGAGGTGCCCCATCAACTCTCTACTCACCACCCCACAACCTACCCCTGACTCCCACCTCTCTCCTCTGGCCTCAGGGATGGGTGGGGCAGGGAGCTGGGGCAGGGGTGGAGCTATAGCAGAAGTGGGCAGAGCCAGAGGGCAAGAAAACAAACCGGGTCAACTGAGGCTGAGGCAGAGCCAGCCTTCTGCAACAACCCCACAGCAGGTCCTCCTGTACTTTGTCAAGGGCCTGAGACACCGGCCCTTGTGTCTTTCCGGTCCAATCTCCTGCTTCCTGACTCAAAAACCTTGTCTCTGTCTGGCAGAGGAGTTCCCAGGATCAACTCCTACCCTCCCACCATCACCCCTCCCCCTCCAATCCGCTGACCCTTCCAGCTCTAGAGCCTGAGCTGACTTCCATCTGTGGCTGATCTTACCTGAGCTGCCGTCCGGGCTGCCTCAGGCTCAGCTCAGCTCAGCTCCTGGCTAGGCAGCTTGCAGATCTCCCCGCCTCTTTCTACAGTCCCCACCCTAAGTTTCAATTCTCCTCCTGGGAGGTCCATTTCCCAGAAATCACGTGGTCTCTGAACTGCAAGGCAACCAGCTGCCACCAGGGGGAAGCAGCACCTGAGACGCTCAATCCACACTTGGGAGCCTTTCCGGCTCTTTACC